AAATCCCTAGAGCCCTACAGCCCAGACTTCGGCCACCCTCGACCTTCCATCTCTAAAGAGCAGTAACCGGAAACGTGTGCCAACCGCGCGGACTCCACTGCTGCTTCTCCCAACAAAAGCGAGCTGGCTTGCCACTCCCAGGTCGGCGGAGCCCACTGGCTCTCCTGAACTGAACCTCAGGTGCCCTCTGCTGGCCTCTCTGGTTACAACAGTTGGCACTGGGAACATGGGGCCTCGCCTGGAAAACTGATGAAGCTGATGGAGACTCAATTTGAAGACAAAGGGAGAAAATGTTCATTTTAGATTCAAGTGTCTTTTGGCTCCGAGAGATGCCTACACCCAGGTACTAGGCTGCGTGGTTCCTCCATTCACTGAGCTCGCCCCACGGGGCAGGCCCTGGGCCTGCTGCATCCCAGCAGGCAAGGCTGTCTGGAGCTGAGAGGGCAGGGCATGGACTCAGAGCCTTTGGCTTCCCCACAGCGTCACGCCATGGACTGTGAATGCTTCCATGTGGTTTCTTTCTTCTTCTCCTTTTTTTAACCTAACAGCCCCAAGTAGAACCATTCCCATTTACAGATAAGTAACTTGAGGCCTGGAGAGGTCCCTTCCCCTGTCCCAGGTCAGTCACAAAGCTACTGTGAAAACTGAGATTCAAACCCTACTTTTTAAAAAATTTAATACAATATTATTAACTATAGTCAGCAAGCTGTCCATGACATCCCCACGACTTATTTATAACTGGAAGTCTGTACCTTTTGACTCCCTTCACCCATTTCACCCCCTCCCCTCACTCCCCATCCTCTGGCAGCAACCAGTCTGTTCTATTATCTCCTTTCCTTTTCTCTTAGATTCCACATAGGAGAGACCATACAGGACTTGTCTTTGTCAGACTTATTTTACTAACCATAATACTTCAAGGTCTATCCATGTCATTGCAAATGGCAAGGTTTCCTCCCTTGCACCCCGCAGTTTCCCCAAGTTTATTTGGACAGATCAGGGGACAGGGAGGCCCTGTATCTGAAAGAAGGTGTTGGGCCTCTGGGTGGTGAAGCATGGCTTGTGCTGGTGATGAAGGACTGGGTACGGCAGTGAGAACTTGATCTTGGGAGTCTTGGAACTGCCTGACTGCCCTTGGTGGCACGCAGCCATGATCTCCACCTTCATTCTCTGGATTCAGTGGGTGCGGCACACTGCCAGGGGCCCTGTGTCCCCATAGCACTGGGGGTGGCACCAACAGTGGTCAGGTCCCAGTTCTCCCAGTGTACATGGTGGGTGCCATTGCGGGCATCGCAGCACAGCCGAAAGCCAAAGTTCTTCTCCCGAAGGAGGGCTTTTTCGAACACCTGCCGTCATAAGACAGTTTCCCCTGAAGATTTCTTTTCCTCAGTTGAGACACAAAATACCAGAAGCTGCACTTAACAATGACGTGGTTAGGTGCCAAATGCCATGTGGTAGAGAGGCGGTGTCAGAACTCGGGGGTGGGGAGGCCGTGCCCCAGCCCTTGTGCTCTCCCAACATGCCTGACGCCCTCACAGTGTTCTCTCCACTTTGGCTGCCACGCACAAAAGGAAGATTTCCTTAATTTTATGGCTGAATATTCCATTGTGTGTATATACCACATTTTCTTCATTCATTTATCAATGGATATCTAGGGTACTTCCATGTCTTGGTTATTATAAATAATGCTGCAGTGGACATGTGGGTGCAGATAACTTTTCAGGTTAGTGTTTACTTCAGATAAATACTCAGAAGTGGAATTGCTGGATTGCATGGTAGTTCTATTTTCAATTTTCTTTAAGGAAACTCCATACTGTTTTCTGTAGTGGCTGCACCAATTTACACTCCCACTAGTAGTGCACCACCACGTGTTATTTCTGTCATTTCTTGCTTTTGGATAATAGCCATTCTGGTGGGCAAAAGTTGCTGTCTCATTGTGGTTTTGGTTTGCATTTCCCTGATGGTTAGTGATGTTGAGCACATTTTCATGTACCTGCTAGCCATCTATATGTCTTTTTTTTTAATAGTTTTTAAAAACATTTTATTTATTTTTAGAGAGGGAAGGAAGGGAGAGAGAGAGAGAGAGAGAGAGAGAGAGAGAGAGAAACATCAATGTGCGGTTGCTGGGCGCCGTGGCCTGCAACCCAGGCATGTGCCCTGACTGGGAATTGAACCTGTGACACTTTGGTTCACAGCCACAGCCCGCACTCAATCCACTGAGCTACACCAGCCAGGTGTTATGTCTTTTTTTGAAAAATGTCTATTCAGATCCTCTATCCATTTTTCAGTGTGGGTTTGTTTGTTTTTTTTGCCACTGATTGCATGAGTTCTTTATATATTTTGCACATTAACCCCTGATGAGATATGATTTGCAAACATTTTCTCTCACTCATCAGGTTGCTTTTTTGTTTTGTCCATGGTTTCTTTTGCTGTGTAGAAGCTTTTTATTTTGATGTAATCCCACTTGTTTTTTTTTCTTTGCTTTTGGTGTCAAATCCAAAAAATCATCACCAAGACTGATTGATGTCAAGGAGCTGTCTACTTCCTTCTAGTTTTCTGGATTCAAGTCTTTAACCCATTTCAAGTTGATTTTTGTCTATCACATAAGATAGTGATGCAGTTTCGTTCTTTTGCTTGTGGTTAAGTTTCCCAAGACCATTTACTGACTGTCCTTTGCCCATTGTATATTCTTGGCTCCTTTTTCACAAATTAATTGATCATATATGGGTGGGTCTATTTCTGGCCTCTTTTCTGTTCCACTGACCTGTGTGTCTGTTTTTATGCCAGTATCATGCTGTTTTGATTACTGTAGCCTTGTAATATAGTTTGAAATCAGGGCATGTGATGCCTTCAACTTTTTTCTTTCAAGATAACTAGCTATTCAGGGGCTAAATAGCTTTGTTTACATTCATGCTAACATTCATGCTAAGTGCCTATTAAGTGCCCTATATTGGTGTATCAATTTTTATCTTTTATACCATATTTTTGCCATACCTTTTCTATGTTTAGATGTCTAGAACCACAAATACTGTTACAATTGTGTACAGTATTCAGTACAGTAACATGCTGTATGTTTGTAGCCTAAGAGCAAACAGGCTCTACCACATAGCCCAGGTGTGCAGTAGGCTACACCATCTAGGTCAGTGTAAGTGCACTTTATGATGTTTGCACACCATAATCCATTAACAATGCATTTCTCAGAAAGCATCACCATCATTAAGTGGCATGTAACTATAGTGACAGTTGTACATCTTATGATATGGATGCCTTTACATTTTACATGCTTTTTTTCCTTTCTTGTCTAATTGCTATGGTCCAGATTAGTCACAAAGCTAGTGTGAAAGCAGAGATTCAAACCCTGCTTTAAAGCCCACTTCTTTCCCAGGACCTACTGTATGTTCACTGTGCTGCTCCTGGCACCCACCTGGAGAGGGACCTGAGGGACCGGAGAGACCTGAGGTCCTCTTCCCTGGGCTGACCAATGGATGGGGAGGGAGCCTTGAACCTCTTCTCACTCCCCAGCCAGGCCATACCAGTTCTCAGCCATGGTGGGCATGTGTGGTACCTCACTCAAGTCTTTATTATTTTTTATTGAATTTACTGGGGTGACATTGGTTAATAAAGTAAGTTTCAGGTGTCATCTAAGGATTTCAGCATTTGCTGGGGCTCACACTTGGCTGAGTACTATGGGGAGTTGGGAGCTCAGCAGCTAACAAGGAGACCTGGACCTGTCCTGTATTTGCCCCAAGATGCAGAGCATGAACACCTGGTCCCTTGTCCAGTCTAGCAGCTCCAGTCCACACTCCTTACAAACTCAGGAGACCAGAGCTACCAGAGAGGGTACTACTCCCATGGGTAAGGTCAACCCTCCCACCAGACAAAGCCACACCAACATCAAGCCTATACTAAGCCCCTCATTTCCTATGAATACATTGTAAGTTGTTTACATGTAGTCTGTTGGCAACCACTGCTGAGCTTCACAGCTATAGGGCGTGTGCATGACACACACCCTGGCAGGAAGTCAGAAGTGGCACTTAGTAATGGACTCAGTGAAGATGTACAGTCCTTTCAATATTTCTGACCATGGTAAGAAGCAAATCTCACTTTGATGCCAGTGTCTTAAATCCTTCCCTGAAGATGGCTAATCTCTCTTGAACAAAATCATCAGGCTTTAGGTCCAGAACCTTTGGCAGGTAACAGTATTCAGGGGTCTGACAGAAGTTACGCCTGCTTGAGTGTGGTTGGTAGGGTAATAATATGGGTGTAATAATTTATAGTTTTAATTTGAACATTTTACCTAAAATGTCATATGGTGTGTTTGAATGGGATATTATATTACAGAACTACATGCTTTTGACTTTGTAATGAAAAAGGGGCATTATTTGTGCTGGACCCTGTATGATTAAAATTTAGTATCATTTTCATTGCATTTTAGAATTCATTTATTTCTGTATTCCAGTTTTACTTATGTTTACTGATAACAGTGTTTAATAATTTCTGACAGGATGTTGTTAGGATCAAAGGCGGTGCTATACGTTTCAAAATTAAGTGACAGGGCTGGGAGTTACAGTTAGAATCATGGCTCTGCCACCGTCTTGGAAAAAATAAAACTTTTTGACCCTCACCTTTTACTTAGGAAAATGGAAATGCAGGCTCAGATGCTCCTTTGCCCCAAAAACAAGGATTTAAAAATTGCTATTTGTCCAGCACACCCATAGTACAAGTAAAAGGTCTAAGTACCAAAACTTAGAAGCAAAGCACAAGAACACAAAATCACAACAAAGCTGGCTGTTTCATCTCCTGGCTTTAGTAACTGGCCACAGGCCACCTAGGTGAGAAAGTTAGTCTCACTCTGCATGTTTAGTTTTTAAAGTATTATTACCATAACCTAGTTAAATGTCAGCTAACATGTTCCTTTCCATAGCATTCTGTGTCTTAAAGGTTTCTGAATTATAACATAACCAGAATGTATGATTCCATATAGATTTCCAAGTCAGAAAATGTTTTATCATTCCAACTCACTTTAATATCACTATTAGTACACAAATGGTAGAAGCATGCTGTTTTTGCAAAAAGTTTCTCTGTAAAATCCAAAGTCATACCAATGTCAATCTCTAGTTTGGCACTGCTTATGTAAAATGTTACCATTTAGGGGAAGCTGGACAGAGTACAAAGGGTGCCCTGTATTATTTTTCCAGTTTACTCTAGTATTGTAATTATTTCAAAGTAAATTAAAACAAAAATGCTACTCATAAAAATTAAGAGTATAAACATTGCAGCTTAAAATTTAAAACAAAAATCTGAATGGTTTTAGGAGAGCCTGAGAGTCACCTGTTAGACATAATGCCTCAGTCGGGGGGGGGGGGGCACAAGGACCAATAAAAAAAGCTTACTTAGGTATAAAGCCCATTACTAACTTTGGCAGTGATTAACATTATATGGTCTTGTTGCTTTTGCTCTCTCCAACTCCTAGACCAAAAAGGCTGAATTAGCTTCAACATTAGGAAAAATGTGAGAGGGAGAAAGGCTCCCCGATTTTATGAAAACCCAGCGAGAACACTCTACATATAATTTATTTCAGTCACTCTGCACTTGAAGCTCACTCACACCAACTGCACAGTCCCGGGCAAACAGTCTGCCAGGGCTTGGGGCTGGGACCGGATCCAGGCCTCACTGGGTTTCATTTCGGGCCCTCCCCATCAGAGACTCGGCCTGGCTCAGGGCCAGCTTGTCCTTCTTTTCCTTCTGCAAGACCTGCTCCTCCCATAGCGCCTGATCCACCTGATCGTCGGTGAGCACGACAGGCTGATACTTCTCATCAAAGAGCCTCTCATTGGCTTCCGAATTCAGCTGATGAGCCCCGACAACTCGCAAATGTGCAGGCAGGTGGAGGAACTCATCGTCGTTGATGTCGCAGTCGCGCATCCGAGCCCCCAGCACCCACCAACGACCCACGAAGCCCACGTCCAAGATCCGGTCTGGGAACTCCGCCCAACGAGGCTGCAGATAGTGGCAGCGGGCCTGGTAAAGGCTGGCCTGGGGGTCGTAGGGAGCCTCATACACCAGTGAGCAGAGGCCCAGATTCACGTGGCGGAGTCGTCCGCGGCCCCGCAGCCAAAGCAGCTGCTGCACGTACGCTTCCGAGTCGCGGTTTCGCGTGGCGGGCGCCAGCAGCAGCAGAGTCCCCGACGCGTCGAGCAGAGCCTCCTCGAAGGCCTGCTCGCTAGGCGCGAGCGCGCAGCAGGTCGCCGCGCCGCCCAGCAATCCCAAGTATACTGCGGCACGGCCGGGCCGGGCCCGCGCCGCTGCCGCCGCGTCCCCGCAAGCCTCCGCGTAGTCCCGGAGCAGTGAGCGAGCCCAGGCACCTACGGGAAAAGAAGCGAGATGAGAGGGGTCGGGCCGCTGCAGCCACTCACTCCGCCCCCTGTCTCTGCCGCGGCCACCCACCCTGCCGCTACTTACCCAACCTCGCCCACACACTTGGCTTCGCGGTTGCCGAGTCCCCTGCATCCCCGCGGCTTCGCGACCAAAGTCTTTTTAGAGCGGCTGCCGCCATTCCCTTCCGGTTTGACGTCCGTTTTCCGAAGAGAAACGACAGGTATGCGAAGTAAAAGGCCCGGGAGTCTCATCTGCGCAAGCGTCAATATTGCCGGCAGTGGTTTCCTATCGGAAGAAGATAGAAAACGGACCGGCGCCGGATGTTGCTGTCCGAAACAAGTCGGATTGACTGGCTGGTAGGAGGTCGCGCAGGCGCAGAAACTCCTGGCCACGCCGGCTGAGACGGATTCAGGTGAGTAGGGTGGGTTGCACCTGTGGGGCGGGGAAAGCACAGTTAACCCCCAGGTGGGTATCGTTAAGAGCCAAGCTGGACTAGGGGCTGAGGAACAGACTCCGGCCGGGGCGCCGAGTGGGATTGGGTGCGGGCCTGATTGGCTTCTGTCTTCAGAGCGGGATGCGGTGACGCCCCTAAATGACCATGGCAGCGGGCGACGAGCTGGCCTTTCATGGTGAGTGCCCCGACCTACCCCTCTGCTTGTCAGAACCTTATATCTAAGTCCCGACTCATATCTAACCCGAGCCACAGGCATCTGTGAATCCTGACTCTAAGCGTGAAACCCAGCCTAAGCTCGAACTCTCCTCCAGCCCCGAACTCAGACCTCAAACCTGACACCGTTCCAGAACCAGCCCTCAGGTGTTGTCACTTGTTAGGAGTGAAGGAACACTTACTTCTCCACTCCCCAAAATTGAGGAAGCCAGGCCCTGAGGTGGGGAGAGCACTGAGGTGGCCACAAGTACAGTCTTGGTCTCCAGATGGGCCATACCAAATTGTCTTGACTCCTCCCAACCAAACATGCTTGTATCCCATATTTATTTCCAATAGAGTTCGAAGAAGCCACTAATCTGCTGGCAGAGACCCCAGATGTGGCTACCACCAGAAGTGATCAGCAGACCCCAAAGGGGCATGTAGCTGTGGCTGTGGGCTCAGATGGAAGCTATGGCGCAGAGGACGAGGTAGAAGAGAGTGACAAGACCATGGTGAGTCACATAAGTCCCTGTGCCATACCTCCATCCAGACCCCGGTTGAGCCAGGCTGGAAGGGCAGGCACTGAAAGCCCACACTGTGCAGCTTCTGCAGGAGGAGAAGCAGCAGCCAGGATTCTGGACCTTCGGCTACTATCAGAGCTTCTTTGATGTGGACACTGCACAGGTCAGGTTTGGGAAGCTGGTGGGATGGGGCTTGGAGCCATGCTTGGGGTTCAGCTACTCTGTTCTGAGCATTTCCTGTGCACCAGGCCCTGGGCAGGTTGCTGGAGATACACATGGGAACACAGGAGATTCCACCCAGGCTAGCGGAAGTAGCTGTGGTGTGCTATAAGGGTTATGACATAATGAGTGGGGCTTTGGGGAACCCAGGAGACATGATACGGTGGGTTAGAGAAGGGCCACCTGGAGGTGGTATGGAGTTTACTGAGACTTAAAGAAGGAAAACTTAGCCAGGCAGAGTGGGAGGAAGCATAAGTGTGTTCCAGACACAGGAAACGTCATATACAGGAGACCAAAGATGAGAGAAGGCGGGAACTATCACAGAACCTACCTGTCACTCTGGCTGGCTGGAGTGTGAGAGGTCGGGGAGAGACAGGCAGAAGCCAGACGAAGTATGTTAAGGAGGTTGGGTTTTGCGCTGAGGGTGCTGAGGAGTCAGGAAGGGTATAGAGCAGGAGATGCTTGAATGGAATGAGCAGATGTGCAATATAAAGGTGGATTGGAGGCCCCAGGCAGGATAGGAGATGATAGTAAACCAGGGCTACAGAGTAGAGGCCCTATTGGAGAGAGATGCGGGAAGGAGAATGCCCAGGACTTGCTGACTCTCCTTGCTGGGATTGGGAGAAGCAGCAGGGGCAGTAGTCCAGGGCAGCCTAACAAAGAGGAAGATGGTAGTCCTCGAAGTCCTTCAGAATGGTGGGACACTGATATATTGAGTGGGGGCTGGCCAGGAGAAGGGGCTCCAGGCCATGGGAACAGCCCATCAAAATCCCAGAGGGAAGTGCTTGTTCAAGCAGGGTGGAGAGAGGAAATGGAGGGCAGCAGAGAAGCCTCTAAGGTCAGGAGAGGAGCTTGGCCTCTTTCCTCTGGGGGTGGTAAGGAGCCCCAGCAGGTTTCCATCCTGGGCCTGGCATTGCCCCCAGGTCCTGGACCGGATTAAAGGGTCGCTGCTGCCCCGGCCTGGCCACAGTTTTGTACGGCACCATCTTCGGAATCGCCCAGACCTGTATGGTGAGTAATATGCTTTCAGCTCATTCTTCATTCAGCAAATGTGGAAAGCAGAGTCCCTCATGGAGGGTGTGAAACACACACTTCAGGGAGGCAGAGGCATAAAGGGTTGCAGAGGGTGAAGAGAATTGGTTGTTTAGAGCACAGGTGGCAAACACAAGTCCTGAGAGCCAAATTCGGCCCTCCACCTTATTTTATCCAGCCAGGCACCTTGTTTCTACCTAGCAGCAGCGCCAAGCTCCTTGCCCCTAGTTAAGGAGTAGTTATATTTTTGCAGTCCTAAAATTACATTCGGCCCTTTGAGGGCAACCATGAGGCTGATGTGGCCCCCAGTGAAAATGAGTTTGACACCCCTGGTTTAGAGGATGAGAGTTGCTACTTTGCATGGGTTGGTCAGGGAAGGTCCCTCTGAGGAGGATGAGGGAATGAGCCTTGTTGGTGTCAGGGTTGGGGGCGGGGAGAGTTAGGGGAAGAACATTCCAGAAGGGCCATAAGCCCTGTGGAAGAAACACACCTGAACTGCAAGGCAGCATTGTCCCTGGAGCAGAATAAACTGGTATGCCGCCACCTAGGTGACAGATCACACAGACCTCCTAATGTTTGGTGAGAAGGGAACTTAGTTAAGTGCTCTTAAGTGTCCTCTGGCCACTGTCAGGCACGAGGGCAGAAACAGGGAGACCAGGGAAGAGGTGACTGCTGTGGGGGTGGGGCTGGTGTCAGGGAGAGAGGAGTGATTGGATTCCGGCCTACATCTTGAAGGGGTAGAGCTCACAAGATTTGCTGACCCACTGGATAATGGGATGGGAAGAGAGGAGCACAGGAGGGCGCCAAGGTTTTTTCCTGGACCAAGAGAAGCATGGAGTTGCTGTTTATCAATGAGAAAATCTGGGCAGGTTTGAGGGAAAAGAGTGAGTGTGGTGGGGTGGAAAGGAAGGTGCACATGTGGAAACATTGACTGTCAGGTCCAAGGTTCAGGACAGAGGCCTGGGCATGAGACATTTGGGAGCTATTGGCCTAGAGGTGACATAAAACCCTGAGGTTGGACAAGATCATGCAAGGGGTGAACACAGAGAGGGGCCAAGGACTGGGCCCAGCTGGCTCCACATTGTCAGGGAGTCAAAGAGGTTAAGAAGTTGTCAGTGACACGAGACAGAAGCCAGGAATGTGGAGTGTTTCTGGGGGGTGTGGGGGAATCAGCTACATCAAAGGTTGTCAAACGGCCAAGAAAGATGAGGACTGAGCCAGCATTGGATTCAACCACCAGGTTGTCAGTGGGTGTAAGTTGGGTCAATGGAGTGGTGGGCGTGGGAGTAGCCCAGAGCTTGGAAAGGCTAGGACAAAACAGGACAAGTCATGTGTTCTGGAAGCTCTGCCTGGAACCCTGACTACACCCTATCCACAGGCCCCTTCTGGATCTGCGCCACACTGGCCTTTGTTCTGGCCATCACCGGCAACCTGACGGTGGTGCTGGCCCACAGGAGGGATGCCTCTATTCACTACAGCCCCCAGTTCCACAAGGGTGAGCAAAGCAAGCAAGGCCCGGCGCCTGGTGGGGCTGAGGGGTGCCACAAGGCCCTAGGGGTGACTGCCCACCTTGCCTCCCAGTGACTGTGGCCGGCATCACCATCTACTGCTACGCCTGGCTGGTACCTCTGGCACTGTGGGCCTTCCTGCAGTGGCGCAAGGGTGTCCGGGAGCGCATGGGGCCTTACACCTTTCTGGAGACCGTGTGTGTCTACGGCTACTCCCTCTTCATCTTCATCCCCACTGTGGTGAGTATGGCCCCAGGAGGTGGGGGCTTTGTATGCCGTGGAGAAACCCTGTAGCCATCTGATCGTGTTGCCCCCAGGTCCTGTGGCTGATCCCTGTCCCATGGCTGCAGTGGCTCTTTGGGGTGCTGGCTCTGGCCCTGTCAGCTGCTGGCCTGGTGTTCACCCTTTGGCCCATTGTCCGAGAGGACACCAGGTTGGTGGCCTCTGTGCTGCTATCTGTTGTCGTGCTACTCCATGCCCTCCTGGCCCTGGGCTGTAAGGTACGGGTCTGGGGTGGTCACAGCGGGGCCTCTGGGTCGGTCAGCTTTCTGGCCATGATGCTAACCCTGGGGATCTGTGTTCAGTTTTACTTTTTCCAGCCACTGCCCCTGGAGCACGTGACACCTCCAGCCCAGGCCACAGCTCTGCCCTCGGATGTACCCCAGACAGCCACCCCGCAAAGACACATGACAGCCTAAGACCCGAGCCTGCAGGTGAGGAATCGTTTCCAGCTGTGGCTGTGGTGCTTCCAGCCTCTTCCCCATAGGGTGAGAAGTCACAGAGCCACTGGTGGGAGTTTCTCTTTCAGGTCCAACATGAGGGGACACCTCTGCCTGCCCTGCCCCCAGATGATGACTGAAGGGTCCCTTGACATCTTGAGATCACTCTGCTACTTTCCAGACTTTTCTTACAAAGCAAACACTTTTATTTTCTATGCAAAGGTGATTCAGAGAATTTATATAAAGGTGGGAGAAAGATGGCTGAGCAAGGCGCTTCCAGTGCAGCTGTTGCCCTGTGGGCTACTCCCCAGGCCTTTCTTCTTCCCCAAGGGTGGGGCGGTAGAGCAGAGGGTCACTCCAGCCTCAGCTGTGCCCGCCCTTCCCGGAGCATCCAGTTGGCAGGGCCTTGGGCCTAGCTTCGGCTCCACCACATCCGAGTGTGTGTGTGTGTGTGTGTGTGGGGGGGGGGGGTTAGAAATGGGGGGAGCAGAACTAGAAGAAAATTGCCTGTGCTGAAACACTTTTCCTTGTTTATTTTTTCCTTTTTTTTTTTT